GAAGCATAAAGAGACTCTTTAGGCCTTTCACCAGAAAAGTTCAGAAGTATGGATTTACTACAGCCTGGAATGCTAAACCATCTAAACTGCTCAGTCAGCTATGTGTGTGTGGTCCATACACAAAAAAATACTCCCTCCGTCCCATCATATAAGATGTCACTATAACAAATATGTGAGTATATCAGTTGTAATGACATCTTATATTATGGGACAGAGGTATTAGTAAATTTACTTCTTTAGGCAAGGCCAAGTGCTGTTGTTTATATTGGTTTCGGGTCTCGGTTTACTAGAATTACTGGAAATGGGTTTGCTACTCACCTGTTACCAGTCACTGACATTTCAGCGGACTCTGCCTCATAATGAGCATTTGACAAACCTAAGTGGCAAACTATAAACTCCATTCTCATGCGAGTGGATTTGCTGATCAATCATATTATGGGTCATTGGTAAACATGACATAATGACAACTACGTGACTGGAACCTTAATATGCCTAAGTCACTTTGGTCATGTTCGCTAAGCTTATGCAGAATGCTGACAATTTCAGGCCATCACTTAAATGGGGAGTATCACTGCACAGTAAAATTCAGAATACCGGATTTGACGGCTTTTCTGATCGATATAACCATAGCATAGAGAGCTTGCCCCTGTCATACAGAAAGGCGCATGTCCAAAGACCATGAACATACGCTTAAAATGCTAAATACCAGACAGTCTAATACTTAAAGATTAAACCGTGTCACAACAGGAGGCTCAGTCAAATGATCAGAAGTAGTATGCAGTCAAGAACTGTAGGTGACAGTGCAAGATACTTTCAAGTTCCAACAGGAGGTTCAGTCAAATGATCAGAACTAGTAATATGCAGTCAAGAACTGAAGCATAAAGAGACTGTTCAGATTTCAGCAGATAAGTTCAGAAGTATTTTTTTTTAACTAGTCTGAAATGTTAAACGATCTAGACTGCTCAATCAGCTATGCTTTTTATGATCCATAAAAAAGGGTAAATTGAGTTCTTCGGGCAAGGCCAAGTGTTGTCGTTTATATTGGTTTGGGGTCTCGATTTACAAGAATTATTGGAACTGGATTTGCTACTCACCTAGTTAAGTTCAGAAGTTGGATATGATTAGTTTTAGAACAGCATGAAATGTTAAACGATCTAGACTGCTCAATCAGCTATCCTTGTATGATCCATAGAAAAAAGGTAAATTCAGTTTTTCGGGCAAGGCCAGGTGCTGTTGTTTACATTGGTTTGGGGTCTCGGTTTACAAGAATTGTTGGGACTGGATTTGCTACTCACCTAGTCACCTGTAACAGACATTTAAGCAAACTCGGCCACAATGAGCACTGAACAAACCTCAGTGGCAGCTTTAAACTCCATTATCGTGCGGATGTTCACTAATCACATATGAGTCATTGGTTAAACGTGACATAATGACATCTGCATAGCTGGAGCCTTAATATAGCCTAAGTCGTGTTGAGCATGTTCTAAGCCTATGTGCAGTGCTGACATTTTCAGGCCATTTCACTTAACAGGGGGAGTATCACTGGAGAACTAAATTCAGAGTACCAGGTTTGATGGCTTTTCTGATGGATAGTCAGAGAGTGATTGCCTGCCCCTGTCGTACAGAAAGGCGCATCCCATCGATTTCGCCTATAATGAACATATAAACAGTAACATTTTATCCACCTAAGTTACTATGACAAGAAACCAGACAAGCCCAGTTTGCAGCTGCAATTAAAGGCATCACAAGCGGCCAATTACTACTCCTTGGCCGAACGAAATCATGGTTTAATGCTGTCACTGATTCATCACTACTATCCAAAAAAATTCTTGTAGACATCCTAAACTCGAGAGATTCACATGTGGCGGCCAATTTCATTCCCCGGCACGGCACAGAACAAAAATCCCCACGATCCAAGTCCGGGCCCACGACGGTCCTACCTAGACTCCGTCCCGCACGCGTCGGCGCGGGCGTCGCGGCGGCGAGAAGATGACGGGTGCAGGCAGGGGGGCAGGGCGGAGGCGGGAGAGAGGAAGGGAAGGGTTGGGTGGGGTACCTGGAGGCGGATGACGTACCACTCCTCCCTCTCCATGTAGAAGTCGTTGAGCTTGTGGAGCTCGACGTCGAGGATCCGGGCGAACCAGTCCCCGAGGCCGCCGTCGCCGTGCCCGGCCGGGGGCAGGGGCGGCGGGGGCGGCGGCTGGTCGGCGTCGGGCGGCAGCGTCTTGATGAGCTTCTTGAGCGCCTTGTAGGCGAGGTACTTGTCCTTCCAGTCCGGCAGCGTGCCCTCCAGGTGGCTCCGGAAATCCTTGCCGAACTTCATCTCCCCTCCCCTCCCCTCCGCCGCGGCGCGAGAGTTCCAAGGAAGGATCGGAGGATGCCGTGGCCGATGGAGGAGAGGGGTGTGAGGAAGGAAGAAGGTGGGGAGGGAGGGAGGCGGGCCGGGCCGGCCAGGGTGGGCGGGCGGATGATTGGGGCGTGGGTCGCTGTCGGGCGGGCCCGGTGGGCCCGGGGGTTATTCGGCCTCGGTGGGCGCCTCGCGTCGCGTGGGTCCCTTTCCTTGCCGTCGTCTCGTCTCGTCTCGTTCCGCTTGGCTGATGCCGCCGCCGGTCGCCGCTTCGGCGTTAAAAAAACATTCGGGTTTTGTTTGGGCCCTAGTACTACGTCGGCTTTGGCCCTTGGATTCGATGATATTCCCAAATGAAAAACAAAAAAACAGAGGAATCTCTTTTACGAAACAGAGGCCACGTGATTGGGGAATTTCAGAACAAAACGGTGAGCTAGTTGTCAAAAACACGGGCGGCTTCGATTAGACCAAACACAAGAGAGAGAAATCATAATAAGCCCACAGAAACCGCTTCAAACCACGGGCGATGGGAAGCCAGCCATTTCGACGGTTTCGTCCCAGCGAGCGGACGCCTCGATCCACCCAACCAGGTCGAGGTCGGGTTGGCATCCGTACCCAAAGCCCATTTCTGTTGTATTCGACAACTATTCTCTGGTCAAATATACATACTAAGGCCTCCTTTGGTTCATAGGATTGAAAAATCATAGGAATAGGAAAGTCATAGGAAATGAGATGACATGCATCTCAAATTCTATGCATAGGAATAGAAAATGAGATGCTCTTTGATTCACACCATAGGATTTTTTTCATTGAGTCTAGGCTAATGTTTATTTTCCTATGAAATGTAAAGGATAGGAAGAATTCCTCCATAGGAATAGGATTTCATTCCTACAAACCAAAGAGCTCTAAAGGAATTTTTCCTATAGAAATCCTATCCTATGAAAATCCTACAAAATTCCTCCAAACCAAAGAAGGCCTAATACTTGATACATCCTTATTTAGACCAATCTAAAACAAATTTTTGGAAACAGAGGGAGTAGTTAGAAGGACTGTGGTACCTTCAATCCGGCATGGAGGTTTGACGCAATTGTGTCTCATCAAGGCGAAATATTCACATATGATGACCTCGTCTGACGATCTCAAGACCCACCGGGGCGGACTCTTAAATATGCTCATAGGGATATGATCTGCATGCGTGCGTTCATAAGGATAAGTGTACATATGCATTTGTGAGTGTCTGTGTCTATACTGTGTTTCTAAGAAAAAATGATTTTTATTTTTTTAGAAAATCATATGGCTTTTGTGGCATGCAATGTATTAAAAAAATAGTTGTGCAGATTGTTTTTTTCTTTCTGAGACAGTGGGTTGCATTTTTCTTTTGGAGGGGACAGCGGGTTGCATATATTAATTGGTAGAAATAACATCAAAGAATACTTCCACCGTCTGATTTGATAGCCGCCGTTGTACTTTATGTTAAAGTTTAACAATAAATTTAACTAGCAAAGTATAATTGATATGTCAAAACCAATATTATTGGATCTAACAATACAAATTTTGTGGCACATATAATTTATAATTTGCTCGTCATACCTATGATCAAAGTGACATCATGTTGATGTCATCAGTGATGTGGTGGCAGATGCAGCCGTCTAGTCGTAACCTTTTTTTTTTGCAAAATTCATCTTAGTCAGATCCATGGGCTTGTCTTTCGTTGAGAACAATGAGGAAGATGTGAGCCAATCAACGCAAATGCACTAGAAATAAAAAGACAAAAGAGGATATTCTATCACAAGATCGGCCGGCCGTGTTCTGGTGTGTGTAATGAGCGTGGGTCTTTTTTTACTTGCCAGCCTACCCCGCGAGCCGAAACATGTACTCCCTCTTTAAACTAATATAAGAACATTTAGATTGTTAAAGTAGTGATCTAAACACTCTTATATTAATTTACGAAGGGAGTACTTCTACTTCCTACTGTGAACTGAGTGTGTTAGGTGGTTAGGTTTCTTGTGGTAGAACCAACCCAGGAGGATTCAAGTATTAGACTTGGCATTGATAGTCGCATTTTTCTAGATTTATTTCAGGCCTTTCGGCGATGCGTGTTCAGCGAAAGGAGACGATCCCTCGACTACGAGGCCATCTGTGACAATTTTATCAATCTCAAAACGATGTGTTGGCTCGGTATCTCAGAGGTGCTTAGAAGAATAGGGTGTGTGTGTGTGTACAATATGGGTTGAGTGTATATGTGTATATATGAGCATCCAGATTTGTATTATGTTGTACTCCCTACTAGCTTGATTTGGCGAGAGCGTGCTTCTATGCCGAGCACACGATCGATATGGAGTGGGAAAAGAACCAAGGAAGGAGGCCATCCAAAACGAATTATCGCTTCCCTCATACCCACGACACTGAGCCGCGCTAAGTCGTGTTGAGCATGTTCCCAGTAGGTGTGTAGGCCATGGGAGGCAGCAGGTTTTGGTGCCCCACGTGGGTCGGTTTGTCTCCCATGTTCTACTCTTCCTCGTCGGAGACTGCACTTTCATTTCATTGGTCTTATCGTTGGTGCTCATGGAGACGGCTGATGGAGGACGACACGGGCTTGGACGCCGCTCGCCGCCGTTGTAGGATAGGTTTAGGGTTGGGTCATCTTTTTGTTCGAAATGTAATGAAAATTCACCGTGTTTGTATGAAATCCGTGATGTTTATATAAAATCTGACCTTGTTTACACGAATATCATCCAGTTTGTTGAAGAAGAGTTTGAAATTTACGCGACTATGGTTGGATGGCGGTCTTCCGCATCCGTGCCCGCGGGTTGGTCCCCCTGTTCGTGAAGGGATATGGGAGAAAATTTGCGGGTTGTCGTTAGAGATGCCCTTATGGGACGAAGGGAGTACATAAATAGTTGTATGGTTGTTCTTTCTTTCCTCTGAGACAGCGTGTTGCGTCCATTAAATGATAAAGTTAATATCAAAGAATATTTCCTCTCCATCCAGATTATGTAGTCCCTGTTGTACTTTGCATCAAATTTTAACCATAAATTTAACTAATAAAAGTACTTGACACTGTCATATAGGATCAACAAACGTCTTATATTAAGTTAAGGAGGTAGTATAATTTACATTTCAAAAGATAGCATTGTTGGATCTAACAATACAAATTTTGTGGCACATATAATTTATATTTTGCTCGTCATACCTATGGCCAAAGTTGACATCATGGTGATGTCATTGATGGTGTGGCGGCACCATCCAATGTAACTCCGCCGCTCTGTAATGAGATCCTATGCTTGCTCCACATCCACGGTCTCATCTTTCGTTGAGAACAATGTGGAAAACGTGAGCCAATCACCGCAACGACACTGGAAAAGGACTAAGAGGATTATCCTATTACAAGACATCTATTTCAGTTCTGATGGAGTACATGCCAGATGATACCGCGAGCCGAAGCACGTACTTGTACTCCCTACTTGTTTGAGTTGGCGAGAGCGTGCTTCTCCTATGCCAAGTACACGATCGATATGGATGGAGCTGGAAAAGAATCAAGGAAGCCATCCGAAAGGAACGGCCGAACACATAGCGTGTGTCGGGGGGCTTTTTTATTGTTTACACTTACTCGGAAATTGCCTATACTTACTTTACAATGGGGGAAAATGAGTAATGCTACACCTACGTAGAGAATGTTACGTGGCTTACGTAATCAGCGACATGGCTAATTATGGTTGGAGAAGGGGGAAGGAAGGGCCCCACCCACCTGAAAATCAAGGGGCAGAAAAGTTTAAAGGAAGGTCACGTAAGAGGGGTTCATAGCTTTAAGTGGATGTAGGATTATCGGCGTCGGGCTCTCCTGCTGGGGTCCCTGCACGCCCTATTGTGCAGGGCCAACCAATGAATGACACCTGTCCTACAAGGCCCACCTCTTAAAAACATATACTCCTATTTTCTTTTTAAATTATTGAAATCCCGTATCTCCTTCCTGGCGGCAGGAGCAGTAGCCATGTGGCGCATCGCCGCGAACGTCTACCATCCTCCAATATCTCCCGACACCGATCACAGTCTAGTCCATGGATAGCCGGCGGCGCCGGCGCTGGTGTCATCTTCCTCAAGGTGGGCTTCTCCGACATCCTCTCCTCGTCCCCGGACCCATCCTCCTGCGCGCTCGCTCGCTTCGCCCCGGCGGGGTCCTCACCCCATATGGGACCCGAACCACCACCGACGCCTCGCCCTAGGTGTATGCACACAAGTTCATGATGGACGTGGGCAGGTTGCTGGAGACCATCTTCACCGGCGCCGCTCGGTCTTGATCAGATAGAAATATTGGAGCGACAAGGCAGCCGATCGACGCCAGTTGCTATGTCTGCCACGTTGCTACAAATCATGGCCACGGTCCCATGCGACGGGAGTTACGAGCTCGTGAATTAGCTCACAGGAATTCTCTCATCCAGCTCTAATGGCTGCTATCTCGTGAGGAAGGAACAAGGGGATTTTAGTAATGTAAGAAGAATATTTGGGAGGTGGGCCTTGTAGGACAGGTGTCATTCATTGGTTGGCCCTGCACAATAGGGCGTGCAGGGACCCCAGCAGGAGAGCCCGACCCGGATTATCGGGAAAAAATTGGTAGGCAATCGCCGTAATTTGCTTGTCATTTTTTTGTTAATGCAGCTTCATGCCCAAAATATACTTTAGTTTTGACAGTTAATGCGGTTTCCAAGAAAATATGGCAGGACGAAGCAATTTGTGGTTGGATGGTTAGAGAGACAGTGTTATCCCAGCCCATCAGGGTTCAAGTCCGGGTGCTTACATCATTCCTGGATTTATTTCAAAATTTCCGGCGATGCGCTTTTAGTGGAAGGAGACATTCTCATCGACGACGAGGTCCCTATGGTGACTTCGTAAATCTTTAAGATGATATGCCGGCTCAGTCTCTCGAAGATGCTCATAGGAGTAAGGTGTGTGTATGTTCATCGGGGTGAATGTATGCA